TTTCGTGATGTATTTTCTAAAATTGCACTGGGCGTAATGGCTTTCGGACTCTGTCACCAAGGTGAAGGAGTGGTTGGAGAAATATAATGATGAAGTAGAAAAGAAGACAAGAGGAGTCGATGGATTATCTGCACTTATAGGAAGTTGCGTAGTGATGTTTCATCTGGTGTTGCAGGAATGAGTATTACAAGAGCGTTGAAGGCGAGGCGACCAGGATCTGGGACCCAGTTGGCAAGGTGGAAGGGGACACTGGGGAGCATCGACAGTGATGTTCAAAAGTGCAAACATACAAATTAATGACTTAGACGACACACTTAAAGCCACAACTAACGCACAAATTAGATCCAGTTAAGAAAGTGGTAGAGCACCTGAAAGGTGTTAAGACAGTGCAGAGGGCGGCCTGGTGAGGCTGATACTGCCATTACTGAGAAGGAACGCTTGTCAAAGAGCGAATTAAAGCAAAATCGCAAGAGCTGAGAGAGACGTTGACAACTAATTTTACCACAATAGATGAAAGAATTCGGGCATTCGAAACTGCGCATAACGGTCAGTTGGTGCCCTGGTAGGACTGGTCGCAGTTGACTATAAGTGTAGAGCAGGCCAATAAGGCGGCGCTAAGTTGGACGATGATTATAATAGTGAGATTGTTGGGAAGTTGCAGGAATTGACAAGCAGGTCACGGCGCTTGACACTAAAGATATTAAATGGGTTCAAACGATCTTCGCTACGGTTAGTGAGCAGTTGTGACGCTTCACCAGAAGCTGGAGGAACTTGGTGACTTGGTCAGAAGGTTATTTATGGTGGAGAAAAAATCTGCCATATTTCGAGACCGGAGGTGATCCAGATATGAATGTGAGTGCGCAGATCACGAAGCTGAAGGAGGAGATTAGAAAGGAAATTACCAATTATGTAAAAAATGCTGGGGAGATATTATTAGGTTGGCGATTAGGAAAAAACAGATTTGGTTGAATTCGAAGAACCATCCAGATGGTTCCCTGATCAGATTGTTGGGGCAGTTAAAGTTTACGCTGAGAAGTTCACGCAGGGGAAATTGGAGAGCGAAACACTGCCTGGTTGGATTGTGCTATTTTAAGAAGTGTGAGCTGTTGATCATAGGAGGGGTATATCGGCAGGAACAACAGTCGTTTTAATAACAAACTGAGCATATTAAAAGTGGCAGTGACAGTAGATTACATGATGTAGTTAAGCAGCAGATTATTCAGGAGCTGAAGAAAAAATGTGCAGACTTTCCATACGGCTAAAGCCAGGAAGGAATTGAACAAATTGTAGCCTATGTTCAGGTCAGCAGAATTTTAATGGAAGATTAAGAGGTGGGGGGTAATAGTCGTCTGAGATAGCCAAGGAAGTTGAGACAAATGGGAAGGATGGCATTCTCACCGACAAAAGAAATCCCACCAACGATTCAGATTTAACGCTTGCCAGACGGCATCCTCCCTAAACTCGCCTCCAAAGCGAGGACAGCTGCCGCAAATTGGGATGGCTCATCGGCAGCGGTGATGGCAAAATAGGTAACGTGGAGGCGGCTATAAGAGTTGTCAATAGTCTCGGTGACCATCTCGCTGGGGAAATTGACTGACTCACCTCTCAAGGCCAAACGAATCTCGGCTACGACATCCAAGTTAGGCACGTGCAACCAAACAGCGAAGTGGACACCAAACTCGGCGAACTCCTCCAACAGGCAGTAAAAAATGGCATCGATAGCTAAATAAGAGTAAAAAAAACATCGTCGACATTGAACTCCGTGATGTCCCACTACAATAGATGAACAAATCAACAGGCTGAACAACGCAGGATTCAGCCCGGCAACATACGAAAGCTAGTCAACGGAAGCACAGATCAACGGGCTGAAACCTCTAGTAAGCGGGGTTAATGATGAGGCCGGAGGATTGATCCGGCAGGTTGGCGATCCAGAAGCTGCTGTGAACTTAAAGATAGCATCGCGGAAATTAATTCAGCTATCAAAGAATTTAATAAGTCCTTTTAGCAGCAATCGAGGCCGCCAAATCAGCCTCTCAACAAGCCCGCAAGGAACTCAGTGAAGGTATCGATGGCCTGCAGACTCACCTCACTCAACAAGTGACTGAAGCTTCGACGCCGTCCACACCGCCGCGAAACAAATGTTCAACCAAGGGCACAAGGCTGACTTGGAGCAGCTCAAGAAATTGGTCAGCGCGCAAAATAAATTGATTACCGAAATTATAGAGAAAAGAAAAGGTCTCAAAGGCCTGCTGAAGGAGATGTATAAGGACAGTGGAAGCAAAATAATGGCATTAAAACTGGAAAGAGTCGAAGAGAAAGAACAGTTTAAAACGCTTTCAGAGAGATTTAAAGACTATTTAGAACTCATTTTCACATACATCAAGGGACAACTCAACACTCCAAGTTCGTCGCCACCCAACTCCACAACCAAGGAGCCAACCAAAATGCTGGGTGAAGTGCAAAGTAAACTCGGCAATTTGCTTACTCATCTTGGCACAGCGAAACATTTTGATAGTCTATTCGTATTGCGCTTAGAATCGTTTTCCACTGAACTTGGCAAATTCACGCCGTCTCAATTCGCCGGCCCAAATAACTCTAAGCTGCTCGACTCACTTAGAGATGGGCTGCAGAAATTGTGTGATCAGCTGGACAAGGCGTACGTGTCGGCGTACTCGGGAGACTACTGGAATGGCAATAACAAAAACAAGTATGCTAATGTTTTCTGTACTATAATGCATACGTTCCGTAGAGATTTTGATGAGTTGCGTGATGGGTTGTCAGGTGCCATGTATGACAAGTCGATTCATCTAGCCAACAGTAACTCGGCAGCTTTTTTCAAGGGCTGCAATTACAACGTGTCGAAAACCACTGGCAAACAAGGTGGCGAATTGAAAAATGACGTGGATGGTAAAACGATATATGGGCTTCTTGTCTCAGATGATGAAAAGCATGTTTACAAAAAAACCTTACAAGGGCCCTGTTATAGATTTGCACCGTCACATAAGAACATACTACACCGCCTGCCATCTTACATTACACGACTCACCTAAATACCCTTGTTCCATCAGAGACATGTTATCCTGGTTGACGGGCCTTCCTTACACTGCAGTCTATCAGGGCATTAAGACACACTGTAACACGATGCTTAAGAAGGAGATCACAGACGCTGAGAAAAAATCGCAGCCTGCGGATCCCGTAATCAGTAAAATCCTTCAGAACACATTACATGATAACCTAAATCACACGATAAAAAATGCATACAACGTACTCACAACTATATGTGGGAACGGACGTGGCTCCGATCATGCTGACTACCCTTATGCGTGCTACTTCCTAAACAATTCCCGCGGTTTCCACTATCCTGGCAGCGTTTCAAGTCTGTTCGATATGTTAAAGGAAATCTGTAGTCGGTTGCTGTGTTCCCTGAACCTATTGTATAGCGTGTGTCGTACTCCCGCCAAATACCGTGGCTGGAATGACTGTCCATACGGGCAGGACGTTTCCGGTTACCAATGGGATTGCCATGATTCATCACACTCCGGTAGGGAGTGTCTTCCAAAATCACGTCTCCAGGCTCATTTAATGGACGGTATGCCCGGTTGTCTACCACATAAATTGACATCTGTCGGTTGTAAATCAGTCTGCTCTACCTGTCCCAAATCATCTGCTGGCGAACAGTGCATCACACCTATGGGCTTTGTGGATTTACCTAACGCGGCGTCCATTAAAGGCACCGGAAATGATATATTTAAAGCTCTCAGCATTTTATGCAAAGATGCTGGCTGTCCGTTGCCTACGTTGCTTCGATGTCTGGCGTCAGTAAATCCATATCCTCCCAGAAGTCTTGGCGATATGTTGTCTCTCTACTGCCAAGTTTTCCAAAAACATGACGGGAAGTATATTCATAACGCCGAAATTAAAAGGCACCTTGAAAACGTTACGATTTCGGACAGCTTCCCACTGTCAGCCTCCCTTCATGGTGATTATCCAGTGACAAAACTAACCAGTGCACTGCAAAAATTGCACTATTCTTCAGGTGATCACCTTATAACTCCTAATGCCAAGGCTACAAACCAATGTCATGCTGATCTGTGGAGCCTATCTACAATGTCTACATGCCAGGCGACAAAATCATGTGCTCCATACCTCCACCCACTCGGAAAGAATGCTTACCACACCCTTCCTAAAAAACACGCAGCATTGTATCTTTCATGGTGCTGTTATTTGGCCTGGGAGTTTTGGACTTGCTGCAACAGTTACTGAATAGTTTCAAAAATATCGCTTAAATCATTCGGGTGTCCTTGCAAATGTCCACCCGGCAAACATGGAGTCACGGAGGAAAGTTCTACAAAACCAGGCTGCCACTGTGATTCCATCGTTGACTGCACAGGTGTCCTCTCGGTGTTCTACCAATACGGACTCACATTCCGTGTACCTGCTACGTTATATGCACACAATACCAGGCGGACGTGTGATGATTTTGTTAAACAATTACATAAAGTGCTGTACGACGGATACTTCAAGAAGCTGTTTGAAGAAATCGACGAATTCATCTGGGCAATTCGCACACCCTTCTCATACCTCTTATTAGCCCTCTGGTCGCTGTCGCTCCTGTACCTGCTGCACATCGCCGTCGTCCGCCTCGACGTCCTGAGGATACGCTCCCACCTGAGATCGCCTCAAGCCACCGCATCGCCGCCCAGTCGCTCGCCGCCGCACGCGTCAAGGCACTCGCAACGCAAGTATTCTCACCGTATCGCGTCTTCGCCGTGATCTGTATCACCCACCCACTCACCCACTCACCTAATCACCCACTCACTCACTCAACCACTCAACCACTCAACCACTCAACCACTCACCTAATCACCTACTCTCACCTACCTCAACTACTCACCTTACTCACCTACTCTTACCCACTTCAACCACTCAACCACTCAACTACCGCATCAACCACTTCACTGGTCAAGCTGTTCCTCCTCCTTCACCTCTCCATCACCTCCTCCAACATGTCTCACCAAAATCTCCATTTCCCACTCCGAAATCCTTATCCAACCCATCTTCCTCCTTCATCGCCCTCTTTCGCCCCTTCACCTCCCTCACCCTGTCCACCCACCTCCCTCACTGCCTCCTTGACCTAAAATCGCCTTTCCCCAAATTCCCCCAAATCGCCCTGGAAATGTGCCTAAAATAATCCTTCAACATCATTATTAAATAACCTCTGCACAGGCCTCGAAAAATTTCTCGGCTTCAGTAACGGGAGTTACACCGGCTCCGGCATCGTGTACTCGGACCTTGACAGGCTCTGCGACGGGGTGATGGCGTTCTTGCACGGGGTGCTCAGTGGAGTGAAGGATGATGATAACGTTAAGCATTATTTTCCTGTTACTGAAATGGACAAGATACTTCAAGAAATTCAAGCATCTATGCATCAAAAAGGTACGTTCACTGGTGTAATTCATACTGTTGCAGGTGCGCTCGGGACGTGGGACGGAGAGGTCACGGGGAAGACAGAGAGGGTGAAAGACTATTTTAATAATATTAATGCTGTCACTATAAAGCACTTCAACACTTCACTTAGCGAACTTAGCGGTTGTGGTCCCGGCGAAGTTGCCGACAAATTGGGTAACTGTTTCATCCATGCAGATGCTATATTAAATGCGTTCAAGCTAGCTGAGTCATACTATAGTGACCTAGACCCTAAACTTGGAGATAAGTTGAAGGATTCAATATATAAAATACATGTGCAGGTAGCGAAGTTCCATGGAGCGGCGACTAATACGGAGTTGCGCAACCTTTTGGACTGTAGTGCAAGGCAGTTGAATGCGATAAGTGAGTTCGTCGCAAAACGGGCTGCACAACGTTTGAGTGAACTCCAAGCGTATTTGAGGGATGAGATTGGAGTTGTAGAATCAAATCTCGACGGATTACGTTCGAACAAATTTAAGGAATTGCAAAATGCTCTCTACCAGGACCTTCACAAGGCTTTCAAGGAGGTAGAGGGCGGGATTACAAGTGTTATAAGTAAGTATGATAATAAGATTTTCCAGCCGGTTGGAATTATCAAGAGCGCTTCGGATAGTTTCAAAACGGAAATCAATGAGACTAGAATTTCTCTTCAGGAAGCCATCCAGGTAGTGGAGGGAGAGATCAGGAAGCTGGAGAATTTTAGAGATCTGGAGAGTATCGGAGCTAGCCTAAAAGGAACGGTACAGTTATTAAGCGCTATTAATAGTGATCCATTTGATCGTGTCAAAAAGTATTTCACTTCACTTGAAACTGGTGTAATGACGCCTTTGAAAAAGGCGATGGATAAAATAGGTGAGTGTATGAATAAAGTATTCCGTCCTGACGGGATGTACGATTTTCAGTGGGTTCTTTCAGATGCTAAGAATTCCATCAATGAACTAAAAACTGCAATTGGTAGCCAGGGTAAAGTCCCTGAAATTAGTGACATCGAGACCCTTCATGGCATGAAGATAGGAAGCGAGAATCTCAATTTGAGGGAGACGTTATCAAAACACTCAAACGCTATAAACGCTGTGATACAGAAGCTTGAACTATCGTCTGGAAAATTAATAACAAAAGCCGACATCATGTCTCTCCTGATCGATTTGGGATCCATCGCACAGGAGGTCTCCAAGCACTCCAAGGAAGTCGTCGAGAACGTCATGGGAGCAATTCAAGAAAAAGTATCGCAGGAAGTTAGAGATGTTGCCGGTACCATAAATGCTAGGGTCACGGAGTGTTCAAATCTTGTCGGCACTATAGGCGGTACTTTCCACATTCGCAGTGGTGTGAAAAAGGTCACGGGCCTCGAAAAATTGGTGGAGACGTTTAACAGAGCAATTGATGGTGAGCTCGAAAGGCTGAAAGAGCACCATGTTGGCAAGTCGACTGACACCAAAAAAAAAGGCAGTAAAGAATCTGTGTACGCCGAATTAAACGATCTAAAAAGTAAAATTGAGGCCCTTGCCTGCAAAGCTGATGACGTTAGGAAATGTGTCCTGGCTGTCAGAACGGAACTGTTCTTGTGTATTAGAGATGCCTCGAAATTACATGATGAAGCGCCTAAGCGAACTGCAAATATAATTAAAGAATTGACGACGGAAGTAAATGCAAAAATAGCAGCGTCCACTACGAATATTGAAATGACGGCAAAAAATGAGTATCATTCCAGAATCTCTGAAGCGTTCTCAAATTTAACAACGGTTGCGTTTTATGGAACGGAAGAGATCAGACAGATAATAAACAAAGACCTCAACACCGGCCTGAAAGGCTTCCTAAAGACCCTGAGCGGCGTGTGCATAGACGCCAACGCTGCGGGATTTGATAATAAAAATGTGTTTGTTCAAAGTCAAAATAATAATTACCTTACCGACCTTCAGAACTCTGGAACTCAAGGTCTACATGGAGACAAAGTAGCAGACGTCTCCGCCAAATCCCTCGCCTACCTAAATCACATCCACACTTACGTCTCCCATGACCTCCCCAAACATCTCCCCTCCTCCTCCCAATACCCCTCCCAACTCTCCACCATCCACTCCGCTGTGGACACCCTCCTCTCCCACCTGTCCACGCAAAAACACTTCGACCACAAGGTCCCCGGAATGCTCGCGGAACTCAAGACGTCCGTCCAAGCACTCCACTCCACAAACTTCGGCAACCCCGCGTACCCCGTGCTCGACGCTTTCCCCAAGAGCCTGGTGCGCTTCGTCGAGCAGCTGGAGAGGGGGTACGTGAACAGGTATGAGGGGGGTGAGGATGCAGAAGAGTTTAAGAAATTCGTGAATGATTATCCTAAAAACGATGAGTTGATCTCTTATGGTACGAATTTGTCTAAGGTTTTGCTCACCTTAATGGAGGGGCTGAGAAAAGATGTGTTTGATTTGCAAAATGAATGCAAGCCTGATGGTAAGAATAAATGGCGTGAAAAGAGTATTTATTTGTATGAAAATGGCCAAAAAAAAAGAAACCCACTTGGCGACTGGTTGAAGAGGCGCGGCTTTCAGGTGCCATCCAAGATGGACAAGCAGGACGGTGAGCTGCAGAACACGAAGGAAATGAACGGTGAGCAGATTCATACTATGCATCTCACCAATAAATACATCGACGTCACAAAAATTCCAATCCTGAAAATATGGAAGCAAGAAAAGGACAAGAAAAATAATATTCCTTCTACCGCAACCAATGGAGATGTCCAAATTCCCCTCACCGACTTTGTTGACTTTCTTCGCGAAATTTTCCGAAAGTACTACCAAGTACGCCAACATGAGCATATTCCATCTCCCAAATCACCGTCCAACGTATTCCAGATGCTCTGCTGGCTCTCTGGGCTTCGGTTTAATCCGATGTTTGCCAAACTCGGTGAGCACTTTAAGGAACTGTTCGATAAACCCGAAGGTAAAAAGGATTTGCCATATTCTGAAATTAATGAAGATGAACTCAGCTTACCTGCTACCTCACTAATTAACCCTAAGGTACTACAAGATAAACTCGAACAGGTTTGTTTACACTCGCAACTTGTATCAGTCGCCATCCTCGGCAATGGTCACGCCGACGGCCGGTACGCTTGTGACTTCCGCACAAACCCAGATAAATTATTATACCCCTCTAACCCATCTGCTTGCTTCGACATGTTAGCCGATGTATTAAATAGAGTATTTTATCAGTTGCGTTTCCTATATAGCCAGTGTTCCAACAGCCGTAGTAGGGGTGGTTGGGAAGAATGCTCCTACGGCAGATATGTGGGTGGTTCATCATGGGACTGTAATGATAAGCAGTGTGCCAACCTAGAGTGTCCTCATATTGCCAACCTAACAGCTACGCGAAAGGCTACCCGAACAGCTACCCGAAACACTAACCTAAACTGTGACCAACATCCCAACTGCGGTGTCAAATCATCTCTCCAATCCTTCTTGGAAGATGGGTTGCAGGGCTTCCTGCCACACTCCTTTACCACACCTGGTTGCAAGCTGACATGTACACTCAGCAATCATACAGGGATACCGTGTCTCACTCCCATGGGCTTCACAGAAATAGGCATTGCAGCGTCGCACACGAAGAAAGGTGCGCATCTCAAAGATGCCCTTTTCCATCTCTGCGGTTCAGATTGTCACCTCGATAAGCTGTGTTCTTACCTCAAATGCCTGCTTCGCGTAGCACCGCAGACGCTTGGTGACATGTTAGCGTTCTACTATCAGTTCCTTAAGCACTTCGGTGCAAGTGATCATAAGCAAAAGGCATTTGAAGAAGCTGTCCAAAAAGCCAATTTCAAAAACCCAGAAACCAATCTGGACGTTACTCCTATGTTCGGCAGCAGTGCGCACTCTGAGAAACATTACAAAGGTGACCTCTTCAGCCTTACAGATTGTAATCATAAGATTAATCCCGGCCTACCATGCGGTAAATACTTGCATCCCATTACATTGAATATCCGTTCCATATTCTCCGAAAAGCGCGCTGATAACTATCTTTCATGGGTTACATACATTACAGAGACGTTCGTTGCGTTGCTCCAAAAATTGTATGAGTCCTGCAAAAAGTGCGAGACTCCTGGAACCCGATGCTGCGATAAAAGCTGCGCTGAGAAATGTCAAGTAAAATATACTAATGAAAAGGGCGATGCCATTACTCCCACTGCTGGAACCAAACATAATGAGAAATGTAAATCCATTGTAAAGTGCCCGGACACACATCCAACGCTATACAAATATGGTTTCACGTTCACCAGCCCATCCGGACTAAGTGGAGAAGAAAAGGAAGCGAAATACAAAAGAACGTGCAAGGATTTCTGCCACGCATTGAAAAAAAGTCTTGAGGAAGAATCTGTACTAATTAAACTGATCAAGGATATCGACGATTTTATATGGATGATTAGACAGAAATTCTCCTACCTGTTGTTAGCCCTCTGGTCGCTCTCGCTCCTGTACCTGCTGCACATCACCGTCGTCCGCATAGACGTCCTGAGGATCCGCTCCCACCTGAGATCACCCTCAAGCCACCGCATCGCCGCACAGTCGCTCCTCGCCGCCGCACGCGTCAAGGCACTCGCCAACGTCAAGTACTTCTCACCGTAATCGTGCCTTCACGTGTGATCTGTGTATCACTCACCCACTCAACCACCCACCCACTCACCCAACCACTCACCCTCTCACTCACTCAACCACCCTCTCACCCACTCACCCACTCACTCAACCACCCACTCAACCACTCAACCACTCAACCACTCACATACTCACCCACTCACCCACTCACCCACCCACTCACATACTTACTCACTCACCCACCCACTCACTCACTCACCCACTCACCCACTCACCCACTCACTCAACCACTCACTCAACCACCCACTCAACCACCCACTCAACCACCTACTCACCCACTCACTCACCCACTCAACCACCCACTCACCCACTCACCCACATACTCACTCAACCACCTACTCACTCACTCAACCACCCACTCACTCACTCACCCACTCAACCACTCAACCACTCAACCACTCACCCACCCACTCAACCACCCACTCACCCACTCAACCACTCAACCACCCACTCACATACTCACTCACTCAACCACCCAACCACTCACCCACCCAACCACTCAACCACCCAACCACTCACCCACCCAACCACTCACTCACCCAACCACTCACCCACTCAACCACTCAACCACCTAATCACTCACCCACTCAACCACCCACTCAACCACCCACTCACTCACCTCACCCACTCACTCACCTAATCACCCACCCACCTACTCACCCACTCACTCAACCACCCACTCACCCACACACTCACTCACCCACTCACCTCTTTCACTGGTCGCTTCGCTCCCTGCATTCACCCCCTTCATCACCTCCTCCGTCGGCGTCCCTCACCCAAATCCTCACCACTCAACCACCCACCAACTCACTCAACCACTCACCCACTCACCCACTCACTCACCAACTCACTCACCCACCCACTCAACCACTCACTCAACCACCTCCTCCTTCACTGGTCGCTTCGCTCCCTCCTCCATCACCCCCTTCATCACCTCCTCCGTCGGCGTCCATCACCCAAATCCTCATTTTCCGCTTTCTTTCTCCACCTCCGTAATCGCCTTACCCCAACCCATCGCCCTCCCTCATCGCCCTCTCTCGCCTCCTCACTTCCCTCACCCTGTCCACCCACCTCCCTCACCGCCTCGCTGCCTCCTTGACCTAAAATCGCCTTTCCCCAAATTCCCTCCAATCGCTCTAAAAATGTGCCATTTCATCCCCTTTTACTCCTTTTAACCCTCCCCTAATCCACCTTTAATCCAACTACAATAACCATTATAATGAAGTTCATTACCTTACTGAGGATGCCAGGGGGGAAACCTTGGATGATATCGATGCCCGTCGTATCTCTCTTGGTACGCTTGCTGGACAACTTATGGGTTTTATTGGCAGTGGACAGGAAGTTAAAGATGCATTGTTGAAGGGTTTGCACAGTAACGTAAGTCAGCTTGAAAAGCGTTTACAAAGCATCTTGCGGAGAT